TTGTGAAATATGGGCACACTATTTATAGGGGAAAAACAGTAGTTGAGTCATAATATAACTGTGATGAAAATCATGTTTATCTAACCTGATAAGAATGACTTTTTATTAAACCAATCATAATGGTATAAACTAATATTATTTTAAAAATATCTATACACACACACACACACGTGAACATCTATTGGAAAAAATGAAAGGCAAAGTTTTGATAGGATTTAACATTTTCAATTTAATGATAAGCGTGATTATCTAATAAAATACTATATTGTATCATTAATTATCTTAAAAGGTTCAATTTCATGAAATAAAATAATACATATAAATCATGCTTCTTTGAATTGAAATATCTTGGGTTTAACTCATCTGAACTTACATTTTCTCGAACTCAATCTACGTTATTTAATGCAAGCTACAAAATGAGCCCAATGTTGATATACTTTTGGCCATTCTATAAAAAGTTAAATATTTGACTCATTTAAAACATAAGAATTTAAAACTTTATTTTAGTCCCTCAACTTTCAAAATATAACATATAGAACAAATAATTTTATTCTAAAATTTTCGGAGTGTTACAGTTCATAGTCTTAAATGAAAAAATAGAAGGAAAAGGAAACAAAATTGTTTCAATTTATTCTATATTCTTTCACTTTCATCCCTTCTTTTTTTTCGAAACTCATTTTCAACAATATATTTTTCAATAAAATAATTTTACACATAAATCGAAAACTTTTTCTCATTTTTTAACCACATATTCTTCAAAAAAATCACTATTCCAAAATACATTTTTTCCCCAAAATGGAGCTCAAACAAGGGATCTCAGTCTTTCACAGTGGAAAGGATAATTAAATTTGATATTTATGACAAACAAGGAAATACACAGTTGACAAAAATTGTGAATCTCATAAAATGTATGATTAAAATAAATGGTTGATTTTGACTTCTACGTTTCATCAACTTTTTAAGCTTTTCTACACAAACACCACATTCAGACCCAACAGAAACGATGGCCCAAGTTTAAATGGGCTAAATAAGGAGGAACCGACACCCAAGCCCAATATACACATTTCATGATGATGAAAAGTATGACGACAGCACACAAAACTAACTACTGATTCTTTAGCTCCTAGTCTTTTAGAATGGTAAAAATTTCTGTAATGTGGTTTAATTGGTAGGAAGTTATGTCCTCTCCATGTTTCCCTTTCCTTTTCAGAATGCACAAATACTCCGCTGGGCAGTGGTCATTACCTTCAACTAACAAGATTATAAACCCATAAATAGAGCATAATTTCCTCATTAATCATATAGATGCTGATTACCAACAGGTACACAAGACACCATGAGTAACAGAGGCTTTCACAAAATGAATCATACAGCAAAGAGAAGGGGACGTTCGAGAGAAAAAATAGCCAGCACAAGAACTTGCATAGATAAAAGAAGTCAACATAATCATAAAGAGACAACGTGAAGAAAATCAACCGTCCCCTAAATCGATTCTAAGCCTTCATGATAATGCTTGTCACATAAAAAGAGGCGAACCAAGTGACTAAACAGAAGAGAATATGTAGTGAAGAACAATCCAACATTTAGCCAAATACAGGAGCATAATCAGATACAAGAGTATAACTTAGGTAGCAACTAATATTAATTATATACAGGCAAATGCGCTCATTCGTTATCAAAACTAGGCATCCCTGTCATACAACCAGAAATACAAAGGATAATGAAGGTACAGCTTATAGATGCAACTTTAAGGCTGGATCATTTCAAGAGAGAGGCAGTCAACTTCTCCTTAAGTTGTTCAGCAGTATCGCCCAGAGTTTCAAGAGAGAATGTGTGAACCACCTGACCATTGTCGGACATAGAAATACTCGATTCTTGCACGACAGCTTGATGCTCCCTCAGCGTCTTTACAACACCAGATACCGGGTGAGAATCTAGGGGGAATTTCACTCGTACAACTGTATCATCATGCCTTTCATAGAAATCCATTTCAGGGATATCATCATTATTTTGCTTATTACTCACCATCTCTTTCTCAGCTTCCAAGATTCTTATCTTTGTCTGAAGATCTGTGATATAGGCAATCGCATCACCGAGGAGAGACGCTTTGTCCATCTTTGAGATATTTGGCACCACAGCTCTTAATGCATAAAAACGCTGATTGAGCTTCTCACGTCTCTGTCTTTCCGCTTCCACATGATTCAGTGGTTCTTCCCTCCCATTGGCCGGCTTCCTACCTCTCTTTCTAGGCTTCCGGTCATCAGCAAGAAGTAATGAATCCTCAATAGTTTGATCCATACTAGAAACTATGTCTTGTGAATTTGATCCCCTGACAATGATCTGGTTCATCTGTGGAAACAATTTTGCTTCGCCTTCATCACTTCGGTGCCCATTTGATGAGTTCCCATAAACTCGAGAACTGCCTAATGTGTGTACATCGTATGATTCTGAAGAAAAACCAGAATCATCTTCCACCTTCGGAGAAAAACTTATACTGATAGGACCTGATTTGGTACCTCCGAGACTGAGTTCTTGCCCAAATATTTTGGGACAAACTTTTGGCTGTGAAGTATTTGGTTTGCAAACTATAGATTTTGCTAACTTAATGACATTCTGGTCCTCAGGAATCAATTTTCTGGAACCAATCTCCACAACTCCCGATTTCAATGGAACAAACAACACTGTCTCCAAATGTGCAGATTTTGCTAAATATGATCTTGATTGATAATGTTCCAAACAGCTTTTCACATCAGAAACCCAAATTGATCTGCCAGAGTTAAATGACTGGGAAGGGATGGAGGGCTTATCGAAGGGAAATGCAAAGTACATTGACATGAGATAAAACATCTCAACATCAGACACCCGATCCAACTTAGCCAACATTTTATCATCATTCGATCGCCCAAAACACGCGAGAATCTTCTGAAGAACTAGTTTTCTTTGATCTCTTTCAGCTGTTTTTTGACTATCAGATGAAATTCCATCTTTATCCTCACCTTCCATTGATTCTTTAAGATGCCCGTCCCCCCATATCAAGGCTGACTTACCAGATTTTGATTTTGCTACTTGCCAATAGATGGCATAAGTCCAATCTGACCCTTCAACAATCTTGCGCAGACCCTGCAGGACTCCCAGATCTCCACTCAAGCCAGTGAATTCTGACAGCACATTATTTGAAGCCGACCACGCAAAGTATTCGGTGACTTCACTGCCTAAAACACCTTCAACCATAGCCTTCCCCTCTTCATTTAACCAAAACTTATCCGCCATTTTCAACACTTCGGAAAACTAGTTTCCTCAAGAACGGTGTAAAAAATAGAGAGACTAAAAACTCACAACCCCAATTTTCACGACCTAATTCAAAACTACTTGATTTTTACGCCCAAAATGGAAAATACAACCAGGATCTAAATTTTTTTTTACAATTGAGGTTCTTTTCAAAAGACCATTTGTATCAATACAATTCCTAAATCTTAGAATCTGTGAACCTCAAGTTACCTACAAAAAGAACTTTTTGAAAACCTCAAAACTAAGATTATTCACCCAAAAAGTGAAACCCTAATTTTTTTTCCGACAAGAACCCAAAATCAAGAATTTTGATTCAAGGGAACAATGGTCACCCAAAAACACAGCTTAAAGAAGAAACCCAATAAAATCTTAAACTTCAAAAACACAAGTTCACTTTAAATCAAACATTTGAGGAAACTCGCAATAAAATTAAAACCTTAAAATTGTCGAGTCTTGAGCTAAACACAATTTCTCAAGTTTACACCCCTTCAGAAAAAAATACCCCAAATTCTTCCGCTGTATTTCACCAAAAAAAGAACAGCTTCAAGTTTGATTTCTCAGGAAGAATTCAAGAATATGAGGAATACACAGGATTAAAGATTCAAGATTTGTAGTGCAAATTACCTGAAATAAAAGATGGATTCATGGATTTGCATGTTATGTGTGAAGTCGCTCGTGGTTCATGTGAGTTCAACCACTTTGGATCTGAAGCACGCCATTTTCGTTGCAGTCTTTTGTTTTGATTTGGTTTTATTTTTCGATATTGAATTCACACGTGATGGCTTATGGGACCTCGCGGCTATGACGGGGATCGAATAGAGGGACAAACCTACAAGTTTAACGTACATGTTCGAGTCTAATTTGATAGAAGAATGTATTTTAAAATAGTAAATTAATAAAAAATATGTGGTTAAAAAATAAAAATAAAAATTAATTTATGTGTAATATTATTTTATTAAAAAATATATTGTTGAAAAGTAAAGAAAGAAAAAATGTATTTTGAATCCATAGGGGTGTACATAATGTGAGAGGGTCGCGCATCAATCGGTAGTTTACAATTTTTTACTTTTCCACACTTCACATCCACGGTCGAATTTATTCCACATGAGCCTATGTAATTCATTATATACAATAATTATATACATATAAATTTATCCATGTACATATAGCATGGTCCTTTTGAAAATAATGAAAATCTTGTTTAATAATATAAATTATTTTAAGAAGCATAAGTGAATTTTGCCTACTAGAAATTATTTATTTTAGGGGTTGTTTGAGCCTCATTTTTTTTTTTCAAAAAATATATTTTGCAACAGTGTGATTATAGAGAATGTGTCATTAAAAATAAAGAAAATTTTTGAATTTACTTATAATATTATTTCATTAAAAAATGTGCGGTTAATAGAGTCTAATCACTATAGAATAATGCATTTTGACTGATAATATGAGAGAGGTGAGGCCCGCGCTACAATTAGCGCGGGCCCCACCCCTCTCACATTATGCACCATGCTATGTATAGTGTGGTCCTTTTGAAAATAACGAAAATCTCGTTTAATAATATAAATTATTTTAAGAAGCATAAGTGAATTTTGCCTACTAGAAATTATTTATTTTAGGGGCTATTTGAGCCCCATTTTTTTTTTTTTTTCAAAAAATATATTTTGCAATAGTGTTAAGATAGAGAATGTGTTGTTAAAAAATATAGAAAATTTTTGAATTTACGTATAATATTATTTTGTTAAAAAATGTGTGGTTAATAGAGTCTAATCACTATAGAATAATGCATTTTGACGAAAAAAAATAGGCTCAAACAAGGAATTAATGTCAAAATGAATAGTTTCGTTATTTATATTTTGACAAAAAAAAAATTACTTATTTCAAAACTTGTTTTTTCAAATAAACATGTGTAGGCCCAAAGTGTTTCGCTTGTTAAGGTGAATAAAGATAGTTTTCATCGAAAAAAGAAATTTCAGAATGAAAATTGATTGGATACGTGGTGCATGATTAATTGACCAAAAATGCTTAATATACCATCAAAATTGTACAGCAATTTTGACATTCCTCTCATATGGGTGGGGCCCACGATTATTTTAATCGTGGACCCCACCAAATGTATGTGAGAGGACTGTCAAAATGAATGTAACTCTAGCATATCCCTTATTTGACAAACGGGATAAAGGCGTGAATAAATGAGTTAAGTCATTTGTACATTAACAGTGTACATTACTTTTAACAGGTCCAAGTTGCCATGAATTGATTGGTGAAAAAATTGTTTATTTTTTAAAATTGTCTAATAACATGTTGTCACGTAGCATAACATAAAAAGTCGTGTGCATGTAACATGATTCTGAATAAATTGATCGATCCAAATTTTAGTAATTTCACTGAATGCACGTCGCACGATTAATTAACGACGGGATAAATGAGTGAATATTCAATAGATCGATCCAACTTAAAATTTCGTCTCTTTCTTCTCTTAATGGTGAATGAATCTTGATTGACTCATGAGATGTGTTTGATATATTCCTTTTAATTTAGTTAGTTTACAATTACCAAATAAAATATGAATTAACAAAATGTCCAATCACTTGTTAATATTTCTTAAATCCTTTATTCAGGGACGCACTCAGGAAGGAAGTTCAATGAGGGGCGAAACCAAAAAACCTCGGAAAAAAATCTGAAAAACCTAAAAAAATAGGGAAATCTGAAAATTGAACGGCGACGACAGCCCCCAGCGGTCCTCAAGTAGGTCCGCCCCTGCCATTATTGTATTTTGCTCAAACAACAAAGAGCAAGAGTTTATTACACACTTCAACCACTAGTAGTGGTCCACTACTCACACCCCGTAACACATTTTATTTATTACATGTTTGACGTGATATATTACACCGTATTGAACATTTAAATTTTAACCAATGCAAGGAGCACGAATTACGATTCCATAATCGTTGACCCAAACCCACATGCGGTTGCAATGAAAGCCTCTAGTCACCGGAGTTCCATCCTTTAGAACAATTGCATCTATGTGTCTATTCTCTTTCTCTATCACCACCGCCGCCGCGGCATTCCCTTTCGCTCCCACCAGCTCCGGTCAAAAATCCTTTCATGTAATGAATTTATATAGAATCCCTACCAAACACACTCCAAAAGTGTACATTACTTTTGACAGGTCCAAGTTGTCATGAATTGATTGGTGAAAAATTTGTTTATTTTTTAAAATTGTCTAATAGCATGTTGTCACGTAGCATAATATTAAAAGTCATGTGCATGTAGCATGATTCTGAATAAATTGATCAATCCAAATTTTAGTAATTTCACTGAATGCATGTCACATGATTAATAGATCGATCCAACTAAAAATAGGAAGGATCGCTATTTTTTTCCATTGTTCTGAATTTCTCAAACCCATCTTGACTCTTTTTATTTTTATTATATTTTGTTTTTTATATTTTTCAATTTTAATTGCAGTTAAAAAATAAAAAGCATTTTCAAAAAAAAAACACACGCACACAATTAAAAGAGACGATAAATGGGGATTTTTTTAATGATGCTCCCTTGCCATTGTTTTACCTAACCAAAAACTCGTGTGCATGTAGCATGATTCTGAATAAATTGATCGATCCAAATTTTAGTAATTTCACTGAATGCATGTCACATGATTAATCAACGACAGGATAAATGAGTGAATATTCAATAGATCGATCCAACTTAAAATTTCGTCTCTTTCTTCTCTTAATGGTGAATCTTGATTGACTCATTAGATGTGTTTGATATATTCCTTTTAATTTAGTTAGTTTAAAATTACCAAATAAAATATGAATTAACAAACTGTCCAATCACTTGTTAATATTTCTTAAATCCTTTATTCAGGGACGGACTCAGGAAGGAAGTTCAATGAGGGGCAAAACCAAAAAACCTTGGAAAAAAATCTGAAAAACCTAAAAAAATGGGGAAATCTAAAAATTGAACGGCGACGACAGCCCCCAGTGGTCCTCAAGTAGGTCCGCCCCTGCCTTTATTGTATTTTGCTCAAACAACAAAGAGCAAGAATTTATTACACACTTCAACCACTACTCACACCCCGTAACACATTTTATTTATTACATGTTTGACGTGATATATTACACTGTATTGAACATTTAAATTTTAACCAATGCAAGGAGCACGAATTACGATTCCATAATCGTTGACCCAAACCCACATGCGGTTGCAATGAAAGCCTCTAGTCACCGGAGTTCCATCCTTTAGAACAATTACATCTACGTGTATATTCTCTTTCTCTATCACCACCGCCGCCGCGGCATTCCCTTTCGCTCCCACCAGCTCCGGTCAAAAAACCTTTCATGTAATGAATTTATATAGATATTCAGAAATATTATCTTTTAGTACTATAACTTCCGTTGCAATCCATTTCGATCCAACTCACATGAACCAATAATTTATATTACTTTTCTTGGAAAACATAAATCCTCCTCCCTTTACGACGCAAATTACTAATTTTAGAATCAACTTTAAAATTACTGATTTTGTAATCGACTTTGATCAAGATGAAGGGTTTAAATACATTATTTGATCCTCATTTTTTTTAAATATATTTTTCTCTCTCTTCTTTATAATCATGCATTTTTCAATAAAATAATATTACACGCAATTCAAAAACTTTTCATTTAATTTTAATCACACATTCTCTATCAATCTATTATTTCACTATACATTCTACACAAATAATAGATTAATTTCAAATTATTTATTTATATTTGACGGTGATTGATATCTTCTTTTGAATAATAGTCACAGCCGAGATTTATAAATGCGACTTTTAGCTAGCTAGCACGTGGGATTGAGATCGTCATTTTTGACTTTTTTTAAAAAAATAATAATAATAAATTATTATTATTATTCTTTGCTTGGATGGGCTTGATAATTCTTTGACTTTTGGACTGTCAACCTTTCAATTAGGTTGTTTTTGAATATTGAGTTGT